ATACAGCCACATAAGTCTTCCATTTTGACTTTTGTTCCTGTTCAGCAGATTGCCACAGTAGTTATCATGTTTGAAAATATCTTTTAAGCCACTTTCCATTTGTAGAGCCATAGCAACAGGATCAGTTGCTGCTTTAACTAGCAGATTCTTCTCTATTTCTAGTCTCTGGCTTCTGGGTACCACAAGACTGCAGTAGATGTCCTGCCTTTCCTGAAGTCCCGCTTCAAATTCTTTTAGTAAAATACTGGCTCTCTTTTGCCACTCTTCTTCCTTTGCCAGACAACTCTGGTACAAGTTACCTGCTGCTCCTGAGTGCAAAAGGATTTGTTTTTCTCGCTCTAACTTCTCCTGTTCCTGTTCTAGGATCCTTCTTTCTTCTACCAGTTTGCGACTCTGGGACACGAGGGCCTGACGGTAACTCAGGGTTCTGTTCCGTTCCTTTTCCAGCTCCAACTCCAAATGAGCAACTGTGCGACGATTTTCTGTGATTACATCCCGGTATTTGGCTTCCAAGTCTTTCTGTAATGTTGAATGTTTTTTATAATATTCTTTCTTTTCTCTTTCTATTTCTTTTTGACATTCTCTGGTCCAGATCCAACCTATCATATATAAATGAGACTTCAGACATGAGTAAAACAGATATAACACTGATGAATATGATTAATTAACTATACCTCAAAGTTATTAAGTGGTAAAAAACTTTTCTTTCCTGTCCTCCCCAGGGATATTCACTTCTGTTCACATGTCCCACAAATGTATTTCTGTGGGTGTGTTTCACAGTAAGTCACTTTAAATGATCATGTTTCCTCTGAAGTGAAAGCTCCTCTTACTCTTTTATTGCTAATACATACACTTTTTGGATTAAAGAAGGGACATAAAGTCATGGAGAAACAATCTGGAGGTTTCCAATGCAGGGACTGCACTGAGAACTTTTCAGGTCCAGTAAATAAATATACACCAGCATCTCCTTGGGTTATTACCTTCAGGCTCTCTAGCACATTAGATGTCCACTCTTCTGAAATAACTTTGTAAACTGGTGCGCGGGTGGTGAGTGCCTGTCCTCTGCCTGTCCTGTCCTGCCCTGCCTTCCCTGCCTTCCCGCCGGCGTCCCGGGGGAGGGAAGAAGGCCAGGCCGTGGGCCTGGCGTGGAGAAGCCCCTTTAGGAGGGAGACGGGTCAGCTGGGCCTGGGGGCCCCGGCCTCCCGCCCCTCCCCTCAGCCGCGGCGTGGAAGCGTGCCTGGCCCCGTACTGGCCCGCTCTTCCCCGCCCTCTGGTGCACGCCGACCGGTGGTGGCCCGTACCCGTTGTCTCCCCTGTGACCTTGCTGGAGGAGCACCAGTCCCGGGGCGGGGAGCTGCGGCTGGGCTGCGGGCGCGGGGCAGCCGGGGTCGTGCGGGGCCGAGCGCCCTCTCGGCAGACTCAGACCCTCCGGTTCTTTTTTCGGAAGATGGCCGTGATTGCTGCTCGGCTCCTGGGACAGGTTACGGGGAGGTAACTGACTGTGGGCATGGCCAGGCCGCGCCTCCCGGTTTGGGAGGCGAAAGCCGTAGCCTTAGGCTGCGAGGAGGCTTCCTGAGGGACAGACACTGCGGGTACGGGCTGTGCAGGGAAGAGGCTCTGGAAGAGCCGGGCAGGTGCAGCACCTCCTAGTCCCAGCACCTGGGTAGAAAGTTTACTACTGGCTTCTTCTAGACCTGTGTGGGAAGCCTAGTGTGTATCTACATGTTGCTTAAATCTGGCTAGCAGTTGTTTCCAGGATATGCTTCTTAAACGTTTGACAGGTTTGTTTTAGCTGATCTCTAAGTAGGCCTTGGTGAAGGTTTGTTTTTCTCTGTGGTAAAGTGGAAGTCTTCTGCTGTTCTCATCCAGTGTATCCATAATGAGTTTGGGATTACAAAAGATGAATGTGTGGGAGAAGGACTCTCTAAATGCAGCTGCTGTTGTCCCTGTCCTATAAAGCAAGCGCAGAAAAGACAACCCGCTGGGAGGGAGGAGGGCTTAAAAAGTGTCATTATGTTGTCATTATTAGATGGCAGTGAACTGGATGTGATTGGACCTTTAATTTCATAAGGGCCATGATGTTCGTGATAGCATAACATTTCAGGATTAGCGTGATCAGTGTTTCCTTCAAATTTAGGATAATGTCTGCTTTGTGGCCTTTTGTTCAGACTCATTCTGAACAAAACTTAGCGGCAGCAGAAATTCTTACATATTGCTCTAACGAAAAAGTGTTTGTGGATGGCAGTAGCAGTTCTGAAATCTATTTTGCAAAGCTTAGATGTGAAAAGCTTATATTTCCAGAGTCCTCTGATGCAAAATGTATTTGATAACTGCTTATAGCCACTTCAGAAAATAACAGTTTTTAAGAAGGGAATTAGTTGCAAGGCACTGTGGCAGAATTCTGACTGAGATTGCAGCAGGCTGTTTGAAGGGAGAAAGAAAATGGGTCAGTTTCTTTTGGGGCCTTAGGGCATACCACAGTTTATAGCTCTTGGGGGTGTGTTTTTGGTATTGTTTTTTCCCCTCGGTCATTTGCACTTCAAGTAATAGTAAGCATGTATAAACCTGTGTGCTGTCTTTACATACAGATTTACTTTGAATTGCTTTATTGCTCACCTATGAGAAATAATTTATTGCAGTTAAAGGAGCTGTACTGTTGCTGGAACAACATTTTGGAAACAAACAGTAGTAGTATATGCTAGAGAGTGCAGGGCTGTGACATTTAAAGTGTTCAGTGTAGGCTGCCATGTCAATCAGAGTTCTAGTCTAACTTCAGTTGCACTGAGGCCTGTGAAAGTTTTGTTGCAGAGAGGACACCCAATTTTAGGTTGAGCTGTGATTGTTGGGAAGGCAGTTTTGCAGACAAATTATATCTGATAGTAGATTTCATCTGGCTGTTGGTGAACTAGTTGATCTGATTCTGTATGTGAAATATTAATGAAGATGTTTAATACAGGAAATAAGATGGGCACAGAATTGCACCAAACCATGATAACCCAGTAGGGTGGAAGGGGGAGTAACTGCCTGGAGAGGAGTGTACTAGTAGATCTCCTTATGAATAGGTGTTGAGACTGATCTTATTTAAAGATGGTTGTAAAAATCAGAAGTATGTTGGCAAATATGATGGCACATTAGATTCACTGTTATGCGAGAACTAGTATGAGAAATGATAAAACTGTGTTGAGGAAAGTGTACTGTAGTTCAGGGATGAGGGAAGAGATGGGCATTTGGAAGTGATGGGGAGGGGAGGGAAGACCTGCTTGTTAGCGTGCTATAGGGTCATTGAATTGTTGCTGGAAAAGAAAAGTATCACTCCAGTGCATTTTAGCATATATATCTAATAGGGAAGTGCTGTTGTTGCACAGATTGCTGGTATGGCTTTGAGATGCTGTTCTCATCAATCATACATGCTCAGTTATGCGTGTTTTTCTGAACAGTGTAAGTGAGGAATACCACGTTCCAAGAATAGGATATTTCTACTGTAGGGACTAAAATTCTGATTGTTTTAACCCATTAAAGCAAAGACTGGGCACTGTGTAGGTTTGTGTGGTGGGATTTTTGTTTTGGTTTTGAACATGCCAGGGGAGAGGAAAAAACCCTGCCCTTTTGCTTCATTTAGGTGTTAATAAGTGATTCTAAATTGGGCTCTAATTAATGGAGAACGAGAAGAAGAGAAATATCTCTGACTTTTGAAGTAATGGTGAACTGGAACAGCTTTTCCTACCACCTACTTTTATCTTCATTACTTTTGATCACCTGAAATAATTGAAATTCTGAGAATCGCTTGACATGAGAGGTATTTTCTCTTAATTCTTGTGGTTCCCATGAAGCGCTCTCCATCTTTGTTTACTTATTTAAAAAAAAGTAAGAATACTACAGCATTAATTACAAACATATTCTTTTGTCAGTGCAGAATCAGATAGGTCTGAGATACTGGTTAGTTTTAGTGATGTAAATAACAGATAGTCTGTGACCCCCTGTTACTTGCAGGCTGTTATCTCATCCAGTCAAAACTTACTTTTTTTTTCCATTTTCTCTGGCTATGAATATAGGAAAGCCAGAACTTCATTGCACGTAGCTCTAAAATATATTGATACAGTATTCTTGTATATGTGGTATCAGTGGTAAGTAGAAGTTTGTTATAAATGTAGGGTGGCTGAGGATGCTGAAAGTCGTCTTTGTGGAAATATTTGTTCTATAATACTTGTCTTGACTTCTTTCTGTAGTGGCCGGTGGCATGCCAGACTCTTGCACGCAACTTACACTTCACAGTCTACGGAAAGAAAAATGCTTCTACGAAGGTTTCTGATTCGGTATGTTTGTACTTCTTTATATCTTAAGTAACAGGGTTAGATAATCATAGACTGGTTTGGGTTGGAAGGGACCTTAAAGATCATCTAGGCCCAACCCCCCTGCGATGGGCAGGAACACCTTCCACTAGATCAGGTTGCTCAAAGCCCCATCCAGCATGGCCTGGAACACTTCCAGGGAGGGGGCAGCCAAAACTTTTCGGGGCAGCCTGATCCAGTGTCTCACCATCGTCACTGTAATTCTTGAGCGACATGAAGCAACCAGGTACTTCGCTTTCAGTGGGGTGTTGTGTTCATGAACATAGTGAGATTGAGTTGCTGAAATGCATTACTTCTTTTAAATGATAGTTTACATCCATGACAGTATGCAACAGATGTAGCATTTGCTGCAAGAGTCTGTTAAGGACATTAAACATACTGCTTGTGTCCCCATGAAATTGAAGTTTGACCTAGCTTGAAATATTTGTGACCATAAACTGATTTTTATTTTTCCAGATTTCGACACAGTATCCAGTAGTGGACCATGAATTCGATGCAGTTGTTGTAGGTGCAGGAGGAGCAGGTCTGCGGGCTGCATTTGGTTTGTCAGAGGCTGGATTTAATACAGCATGTGTTACAAAGCTCTTTCCCACCAGATCTCATACTGTTGCTGCACAGGTAAGAAATGAGGTAGCACAAATGTGTAAGAGAATGTCTGCTGTCAGAAAGCTGGTCTGGATGTGTACGTGAACATCGCTTTTCAAGGCCATGCTTCCTTTTATAAATATTGCATATTTAGTTGAAACTATTTTGGAGGGCAATATATGTTTAGATTCTATACAGTGCTTTTTCATTGCATTCAATGTAACTTTGCAATTCATTGTGTTACACAGAACAAGGTATGAGCCACTGTGAAACTGATAAATTACACAGGTTTTTCACAGCCACATTAAATCTGACTACTATATTTCTTGTACACAGAGACATAAATGGTATGTGGGTTTTTTTAAAAGAAATGAGGAAAACTACTAAAACTGTACTTCAATAACATAATTCTGGGAAAACGGATTTTCATTTTCAGGGAGGGATCAATGCTGCTCTGGGGAACATGGAGGACGATAACTGGAGGTGGCATTTCTATGACACAGTGAAAGGGTCTGATTGGCTGGGTGACCAGGATGCCATACACTACATGACCGAGCAAGCCCCGGCTGCTGTGATAGAGGTAAGACTTGCTGAATTGAGGTCAGCTCTAAGTATGTGTAACACAGAGTAGCTTCCAAAGAGATCTCCTTACTGGGAACATAGTAAAATAACTTGGATTGTTATGCACAAGAGTTTCTGATACTTGTATTTGGGTTCAACAGTTGGAAAATTATGGGATGCCGTTCAGCAGAACTGAAGAAGGAAAAATCTATCAACGTGCATTTGGTGGGCAGAGTCTTCAGTTTGGAAAAGGAGGACAGGCTCACAGATGCTGTTGTGTTGCAGACAGGACAGGACACTCACTGTTACATACTCTGTATGGCAGGGTAAGCAGTTGTGAAATAAACTTGGTCTGGGTTTTTGTATTTGGAATTAATGATTTTTTTTTTTTTCTTTTCTACCCTGGAGTTTGAAAAAACAAAATCCCAACAAAAACAGGCAAGCAAGCAGCGTGTAGCTGTTTACATATAAATGAGGAATCCAGGGGGAGTGACTGATAACAAC